CCAGTCATTGGAGACAAAACACTTCAGAGAAAATGATTTGCTGTGCAGCTGATTTAATGCTGGTGTTGTTTCTATAACTGTTTGTACTTCTGTTATTCCTTCTCCAGATCACATGCCCCACCCCCGCCATCTAAATCCCCACTCTAAGGGCTTTTCAAATGAAAATGAAGGAAACGTGCAGTGAAGTAATCGAGGAAACAGAAGAGATGACCAGGACCACTTCATGATTACTTTCTGCAATGGCAGCTGGACTCACAATAATAGTCCCATACACCCTCATGCCTGTTGGAAGGCTCCCTTCCATGTCAGCCCGGGAATAAATCAGGTTCTACATTTTCTTCTGAATTGGCCATTCTTTTTTAAAGATGGAAAGTCCCTCCTAAGGGCATTCTGGTGTGGCTTGGAATTGGGAACGGTTTCCTTCCTTTATCAACTCCAACCTACACTGCCTTTGGAATGCTGCCCATTGGCCAGTTTTTGCCCGGCCGAGGACTTTGGGAGGAGGAAGAAAGTGCAAATGCATTTCCAGCCAAAAGCCAGTGAAGAGCAGGGCAGCCTGTGAGAGACGGTCTGAAGTTCCCCTCATTTGCCTCACGACCGTTTCAAGGACCGACATCGGGACCCTGAGGAGCCTGATCAGAATCCTGGCCTGCCGACGGTGGATGAAAGCCCAAAATCCTGAGGCCCCTGTGTCACAGGCATCTTTTGACTGAAAATCCTTTCTTTAGGATTTTTCCTTCTGAGAAGCTATGAGTCCTCAGAGACAGAATGTAAACAATGGTATCTGCTGCTGTGGAATGCAACAGGTGCACCTGTGATTGGCCCATCTTGGATGTTTATAAGTAATGGCCAATCGTGGACCGGGCTATCTCGGACAGAGTGCGAGAGAGCTGCCTTTGTTATCATTCTTTTCTTTTCTATTCTTAGCTTAGTTAGCTTCTGAGAAAACCTTTTCCTTTCTATTTCTTTTTAGTGATTATAGTGATAATGGAATATATATATCATAAAATAATAAATCAAGCCTTCTGAACATGGAGTCAACAGTCTCATCTCTTCCCTCATCCAAGAAGCCCTGTGAACATGGTCACACCCCTGAGCAGAGTTCTGGCCTGCCAAGCGATTGTTCGCAGCTGTGTCTACAGTGACTGCTTCCAGCAGGGCCTGCCAGGGGGCGAGGCCCCCCATGTGCTTGCACCTGCTTGGCGACAATAGCCCGGGAATTCTCCCACCTCTTGGCCTGGTTGGACTTTTCTGGGGTAACCTTTGGTAGTCCAAAGAAGACCCCTCATCTGCTTTTCAACCACCGTAACGGACGGACTGAGATGGAAGAAGCCTCTCTCTCAAGGACTGAGACATGAGACCCCTATTTGGAGAAGCTCCCCCCAGCTCCCCCTTCCCAAGGGCTGAGACTGAAACCCCCAACACAGGGGAGCTGTGTGGGGGAGCCAACCTGACCAAAGAGAGATATTTGCCTGCAGGTGTGGCCACTGGACCAAGAAGACATTGGTCCTCGCCAGCTGCTGAGAACATGGACTACCTGTTACATCTGTTCTTTATTGTATCTTTTTCCCCCTCAGCGATTTCAATAGAAGATCTGGTTCTCCCCGCTCAGCAATGGACTATAACAGAACCTCGAGTTAACCAGAACCTTTGAGATCTTCCCGACGTGACTAGACAAACTCCATCAGCTGGACTATGAGGACTTTGTCTTTCTACACTTGCTAGCTATATCCCCTCTCTCTCTTTCTCTCTCCCCCTTTCTCTATCTTTTTCTTCTCCCTTAATCCCTCTATTGCATTTGCTGTGCTCATTCAATAAAGGTGCATTTGTTTGGATTAATACTGAAATCCCCACTGTGCTGTGTTTTGCACTCTGAGATCAGGAAAATGAACCATCACAACTCCCCACTCGCATGAGCGGATCGTGACACAGCCAGAACATCCTGTGCAGATCCAGGCTTTCAGCTGTGCCCATGGATGCTTTTGGTTCCTGCTCGGTGTAGCTGGCACATCTCCAGAGCTCCCACAGCTCCCTCCTCCCAGGTGGCCGTGGCTAATAGGTATGAGGCTCTGAGAGTACAACCAAGAAGGTGGGCACATCTGCTGGCAGTACAGGAGAACAGAGAGGAAAGTGCCTGGCAGGACCCTGGCCAGCGAGGCAAAACACCCGCTGTACCTGCTCTTTGTCAACAGTACAGGACTGGTGGGTGACATCACTCTTGGGGTTGTCTGGGGCTCAGCAATGATGAAAAGTCTGTGTGCTTGAGTGGCTTTGTCCCTCTTACTGTGCCTTCTGTTGTCCCTGTGCTCCGCGGTGTCTGCCCAGGGCTGTGTAGCTGCGTGGCACAGCTGAAGTGCAGGAGAGCCTCATTTGTTTGCCTTTTGAGATGGCTGCTTGTTGTCAATGGAGAGAGATGGGGAGACTGACTTGGTGATCACAATCCAGTTTTCTTGTGGGATACAAGCACCTATAGACTATTTTAGGGAGACTAGTAATGTTTACTACAATGATTAGGTTGAAGTCACTTACACAAACATGCATATAACAACATCTCTTGCTTGCATTGTTCTATAGGATTTTCTAGTAAACCTGTCTAATTAAATCTTCTTGCTATCTAGATCTAATTTTCAAAGTTCCATTTGCTTTTGCCAAGGCATTTTATCTATCAATTCTCTCATGCTAATAAGGTCCAAAGTACTCTCTGTCTCGTGCACCCCAATGTCTCCCCCTTCTGTGTCAACCAAAACCACTCCTTTAATGGTCTTATTAATTAATCTCTGCACACATTGAAGCAAGCAAGGTATCAGGATTATTATCACAATTACCACATACATACCTATCCTAAAAAGAATCTTTTACTTTAAAACTCCAGCTACTAAATGGCTCAGGCTTGATGTTTATAAACTAAAGGCATTCCCAACGGCAGCTACATTACTGGATTTAGAAAGGCTGCCAGAAGTGTAATTGTGCTAAAAGTTTTGATTCTTATACACAAGGTGATAGGGAGAAGCATTTTTAGACTGATTCCTTCCCATGTATTTAAAATGAACACAAAAATCCAATGTCACAGAACCCAGGAATTCTAATTCTCAGGGTTCCATGTATGGTGTTTCAGGAAGGTAAGAGATCCAATTTGATGTGTTTTGATCTACTTTCAAAAAAATCTTTTTAGTGTAAAGTTTTGGAGGAGCTATATTCTCCCCTATTTTTTTGGTTTTTAATAACGTGTGTGTTTCTGATGATGAACATGAAGGTAACATCAAGGCAAAACAATATGTAACATACCAATAAACTTACTTAGACTAAGTAAAAATAAATCAGATAATAGATAGGATTAGTAGCACATGAAAAATAGAATGGTGATTTAAAACAATACATTATCAATTTCTTTAATATTGTACCATTACTTAGAGTCTGTAGTAATCGGCAAGCTTTATTTTTTTAAAGTGAGGGCTTGGAAAATCATTCTCAGATAAGATTTCTATGTTCACCTTAAAAGGAGGTTTAGCTGTTATAGCTCTAAATTCAGTAAGTCAAAATTACTTGAATATAATTTTTGTGCAGAAAATTTTCTCTACTAGTTAAAGCTAGGACTTGGCTAGGGTCTAGGCTTTTAACTGGATGAGTCTTTTTAATAGATTTTAGAAACCTCTTAGTAACAGTAGTTAGAAAAATAATATATGTTTTATAAATAGTTATAGAACAATAAGTGAAGGTTTGTAAAGTAGTTGGCTTTCTCATTTATCGTTAGTTAAATAGTTAGTTAATGGTACCATAGACAAATAGCAAATAAATAAAGTAATGTTTGTTATAAAAAGACAGGGAATACACATCACAAAATCAACACCATAATCAGGATTACTTACTATATCAGTAAAAATGGTCTCAAGAAATCGAGCTTATATTTCCCTAGACATATATGACATTAAAGCAAAAAAGTAGAAGAAGGCATTAAATAACTCCTAACTAATTACAGTCCTAATATGGTATTGTTTCTCACTCTTCAGTATTACTTATAAAAAATAAAATAGCAAAAACTGTTCTTATTTCTAGAGCAAAATATCTTATCTTGTAATTTAAAGGAGCAAATTTTGACAAAAATTCATTCAGACTTTATGTCATTCACTTGTTATAGCAAAGGAATTATGTCTTATAACTCAAACAGGTATACTTCAACAAAACTTAAAATCAACTTCACTAAGACTTAATAAAGTATCTCTAAAAGAACTTAAAGTTAACATCACTGAAACTAAACAAAAATCAATCTTAACAAGAATTAACTTTTTTAAACTCTATTATTACAAAAATGTGACTGAAATTTTGTCATAGAAGAGTTAAACATCAAAGTGAACAACATGTGAGTAAACAACTGTACTGAAATCTTTACAATAAAATTGCCTTGTTAGAACTATGGAGTAAAAAGCAAGCACTTAACAAAGCTGGCAGTGGAATTAAATCTCAAAAAATCACTACAGATAAAGTTCAAGATTTGTCTTGAATGTGAGCCAAAGAATCTTGAATTTATCACTTACCTAATTACTCTCAGTGAACCATGCAGTTTGCTATGTTATTAATAGGTAAAAAGACACCACCTCTATACCAACACCTTTGAATTTTTCTAGTAACAATCCTGTTAAAAATCACAAGTTGGAAGATAAATCTCAACACTGGCTGGTGCCAGGCAGGCGGGGCTACAAGCCCTGCAGCAGCTTTTAAAAATTTCTTGTAGGATAGATTTAAGTTTGGCTTCGTAAGAGTAATGGCATATAAACATTGAAGGCTAAACTAAAAGGGATTTAGTAATATAGTACTAAATAGCTATACCAAAGAATTCACAACAAATACCTTGTTACAAAAAAAGGCAAGTAACTGGAAAATTGACCAGGGCTAGGTGTCCTTCAGGGCTTTAGATCGGTATGAACTGTGCCTTTTGATAGCTGGGCTGCTCCTTCCAATGCCTGAAAGTGCCTGGTGTTATAAAATTGACTCAAAACGAGCAATTTCCAATCAAAGAATTTATTAATTATTGAAGCAGTTATACTAAGTAAGCAAAGGCTCAGCGCTGGGCGACAGGGGAGTCTCAGCTCCACCTACTGCCGCACCAACTAGTTTCTGATTCAGTCCTTTTATCCTCTCCATCCTTCAGGAGTCCATGTTATCTTGGAGTTCTCTGCGCCTGTGCTGGTTGTTGCTAGTGGGTCATCCTTCTGTCTCCTGGTGGTCGGTGATAAAAGGCTGTGGAGTCTTCCTCAGCTGCGTCTTCTTCACCCTATGTCTTTATTTGGTGACTTCTCCGTGGAAAATTACCAAAATCTTATGATTAACGCAATATGTGCCCTATGAAGCTTAAGCAAGCAAATGTCCTGCCTTGCAAACTGTGTCCTATCAAGCTTAAGCAAGCAAATATCCTACCTTGCAGACTGTTTATCTGCCCCTGCCCCTTCCCCAGCTTTTCCCTGGTCGTTATCTCTGTGAGTTATCTGCTTGTACCATTTGTCAGCGGGAAAGGTTTCCCTGCTGGGTGTTAATCTGCCCCTGCCCTTTCCCCAGCCTTTCCCTGGTCGTTATTTCTGTTAGTTATCTGTTTGTACCATTTGCTGGGTGGGACTATGTGTGGGCTCCTGCAACTCCTTCCCTGGTATCCTTGTAACTCCTATCTCATGAAGTAGTACAGAAATAGTCAGCAGACAACTCTTGTAACACACTGGTCTCTTTTTCGTGATGAACAAAATGTAGTCCTTCATCTCAATCCCCCCTTTGTTTTGATACTCAATTTTGTTCATCAAAATGCTCTAATTCTCTTTTGCTGAGCTCTAGAGATTCTTCTGGATCATCCATCTTCAAGGTTTCGTATTTTGCTCGTATGAGCATAAGGTGAGCAGCTTCTAATCTGCTTTTTACAATGCTAATCAATTTATTAAAAATACAAGGGCCAAACGTGAGTCCCAATAGTAAGAGAAGTAGTGGACCCGCTATCGTTGATAATAAAGTTGTAAGCCAAGGAGAATAGTTAAACCAAGATTCATACCAGCTTTGGTGTTCTTCCCTTTCTCTTTGTCTTCTTTCTAGCCCCTCCCGTAGTTTTGCCATTGAGTCCCGTACAATTCCGCTCTTGTTTACATATGTGCAGCATTCTTCTCTTAAAGCAGCACATAGTCCTCCTTGTTGCAGGAATAATAGATTTAACCCCCTTCGATTTTGTAAGGCTACCTCTGCTAGGGAATCTAATGATTCTGTGAGGTCTTTGATGGAGGTTTCAATCCTCCTGAGGTCTTCATCTACAGAGGCTCTTAGTTCTTGGAATCCTCGGTGTTGCTGTATGAGTGAGGCTATTCCTGTTCCTGTCCCGGCTGCACCTATTCCTAGTAACATTGCTACAGTGAAGGTTGTGAATATTTCCCGTTTCACTATGTGGGGTCCTATATTTTGATATTGTTCATAAACGTACTCTACGGGGTGGTAAAGGACTCTGGGTACTATCAATACTTGAATACAAAAGTCACTGGATTCATCAAATCGGTCTATATTTATACATGGGGTGACTCCGAGAGTGTTACAGACCCATTTAGTATTTGCTGCTGGCAGTATCCAGCTGGCAGGTTTCTTAGGGTCACTCAAATTCCCCATAACCTGACATAGATGTCGTTTTTCCACTGGTACTCGTCCTATACATCTTCCTCTCCCCGTTACCTTTGCCAAGGTTATCCCTCTCAATTCTTCTCCTTCTTTTTTCCATAGGCACCTAGCTGGGTTGGTCCCATTTACTCATCTGCTTTTTGCCGTTACCCCTATGGCTTCATAGAACGGGGGGTTTACGGTGTAACACAGCCAACATTCCTTAGTTAGATTTGGATGGGTCTCATTCAGGACTAGGAAAGTGGCCTGTAATATTTTCCACAAGTCCCCTTCTCCCGGGTTTTCAGGTCCTCGGGTCAAATTAGTAAAGTTTTGCTTATACATTTCTGGAAGACTAGTGGTTGGGGCTGTTTCTGATTCATTTCCATTATTTTCTCCTAGCGTTAGTTCTCCAGCTATCGCCTGGTTTGGTCCAATTGGTTCAGGGTCGTGTGGCATGGTTGTCTTTTGGATTATAAAGTGCCCCCCTCTGTCTGTCCCTGGTTCCCATAATCGGGCTCCCCACATTTTCCCTAATAACCAGACTTGGTCATGTGGTTTTGTCACATTAATGTAAATCATATTGCATGTTCCATCTAACCCTCCTTCTTTCTGGGTATATGTGGAAGTGGGCTGTGTACACCCGTATGGACCCCATCCAGTTCTGATAAACCCGTCCTCGTTCTCCCCAAAGGAGCTTACTGATACACAGTCCCAATAAGCACAGTAAAAGTGTCCTGGATAGTTACAATACCCTTTTCCCGGGTTTGAGCTTGGACAAAAATAATATCCAAACTGATTTAAACATGGATTTACAGGTATTAAATCACACAAAGTACATAAAAAGCTGGGTGCGCCAGATGTGATTTTGGTCTGGATAACATACTGGTCTTCCCATCTAATCAGTGACCATTTGAAGGGTTGATGTGAATACCCTTCTGCCCCTGAACTTGTTACAATGCACCAGAAAAGAATTAAGGCTTGTAATTTGGGGCTGTCATTGTCGGAGCTCAGGTTAAATGTTACCTTTGGTTTCCCCAGTGGTGGGTTACCAATCCTGGGGCAGGACGGCCAACATTTCCTGGACATCCCATATGGGGGTCGAGGCTTCCGACGGACTCCACTGGTTATTACCTCTCTGCCTCGCCCGACGACTCGGTTGCTGCGAGCCTCGGGGTTTATCATCTTCTCGGCAGCAGAGGTATTCTTCAGGAGCCGGATAAACCTCCCGTTTCCACTTTTTAGCACTGGCGGCCCAGTTATCAGCTTTTATTAATGAGAGGTCACGCCGCAAATTGGGGGCTTTCTTCTGACACACCACTTCCAGGATGTCCAGGAGAAAGGGGATCGGTTCGTTAGGGTGGTAGCAGAACCGATCAGGATTTACCCCTTTGGAAAAGGTTTCCCACCACTCGTCAGATCCAAGCTTTACCTCCCCCGTAGCAACTCTGCTACTAAGAATGATAGAAGTTAGTCTCCTCTCTTTCTCATAGCACGGCGTGCAAATTCCCCTAGGTGTTCTACCACTCCGACAATGAGACCACCAAGGTTCGTGACACAATTTACAGGAAAAGCATACAAGGGGGTGACAGTCACAATCTAACCAGTTACACTTTAACCTTATATCTTTGTTTTGTGCTTTTTCCCCCTTCCACCATGGGTGCCCTTTATGTTCTAATCTCGGGGACTTAAAGTAGGGCTTTCTTAACTCGTCCTCTAAGAGTTTGCAATATCCAAGAGCCTCCCGATTCCCTATTAGCTGGGTTTGGAGATAATGGTTATCTCCAACCCAGATTACTATCCAAATCATTTATCAGTTCGTTTCAGCTTTAATTTGGTTTCTCCCGGGAGACTGCAAACCTCCCAGCTGTGAGGGGGTTTTACCGGTCCTTTTATGCGACTAGCATGAGTCCATCCTTTTTCAGCGGTTCGTATGGCTGCTTCTGTGGTGAGGAGTACTTGGAACGGTCCTTCCCACCTTGGAGTCAAGGGGTTTTCTTTCCAGCTTTTCACGAGCACCCAATCTCCTGGCTGTACCTGGTGTAAGATAAAATCTAAAGGAGGCCGTTGTGCTAACATACCTTTTTCCCATAATGCCTTTCTGTACTTTGTCAATTCCACCAAATATTTTTGTGTACATGTGTCATTAATGACAGGATGTTCGTTAGGATTTTCTAGATTATACGGCATCCCATACATCATTTCAAAGGGTGATACCCCTAAATCAGCTCTAGGTCTTGTTCTTATATTTAGCAACGCTAGAGGAATACATTTAACCCAGGTCAAATTGGTTTCTGCTACCAGTTTGGTCAATTGCTTTTTTATTTCCCCATTCATTCGTTCAACTCGTCCAGAGCTCTGGGGATGCCAGGGGGCATGTTGTTCCCACCGTATGCCCAGAGCTGTTGCTAAGTTTTGGGTAACTTGGGAAATAAAATGCGGCCCTCTATCTGAGTCAATGACTTCTGGGACCCCATATCTCGGGATTATCTCTTCCATCAATATTTTCGTAACTACTTTGGCTGTTTCTCTTACGGTTGGGAAGGCTTCCACAAAATGTGTTAGGTGGTCCACCAAGACCAATAAATATTTGGTTCTCCCTACTTTGGGGAGCTCGGTGAAATCTATCTGGATGTGGGAGAAAGGCCTTTTCGCTAGCGGTCGGCCTCCCTCCGGTAATTTTCTCAAATTTTTTCTATTTACTTGTAAGCAAATTAGGCATCCTCTGGTTACTTGTTTGGCAATGTCCCAGATTCCCACACTCACATATTTTGCAGCAAAATAATCTACCAGTCCCTGTGATCCCCAATGTGTTTTTTGATGTATCTTAGTCAGTAATCTATGTGCCAATGTTCTGGGTATTATTTCTCTGCCATCTGCTAATTTCCATGCTCTTTGTGCATCCCTTTTAGCTCCTAGTTTTTGTATTTTATTCTCTTCCTCTTTATTAAACTTGATGTCGGGGTCAGGTTCTGGCATTTGGGAGTGTTTTATGTTTTCCTGCAAAGTGAGGAGTCTCAGGGCAGCCGGTTTAGCCTCCTGGTCAGCTGCATTATTTCCCCTACTTCTCAAATCCAGTCCTTTCTGGTGACCTTTCAGGTGAACTATAGCTATTTTTCGGGGTTTTCGTAGGGCACTGAGCACATCTAATATTAATTTACGGTGAACTAAATCTTTCCCTTGTGAATTTATTAGTCCTCTTTCCTCCCATATTTTGCCAAATGTATGGACTACCCCATAGCTATATTTCGAGTCCGTAAAAATAGTCCCATCTTTTCCTGTTAACCATTCCAGGGCTCGTAGTACAGCATATAGTTCACATGCTTGGGCGGACCAGGTTCCACTAAGGGGTCCCGATTCTATCACTTCCAGGTTGGGTCCCCTTATGATAGCATATCCTGATTTTCTCCGTCCCTCAACTACTCTGGAGGATCCATCCACAAACAGTCTTTCTCCTTTTTCCAATTCCTCTTCTTCCAAATCTGGTCTGATTTTTGTTTGTTCTTCTATAGTCACTATACAATCATGTGTTAGTGCTTCTTCTGGTCCTCCATATAAGAAGGAAGCTGGATTTTGGATATTAGTAGTTTCTAGAGTTAAATTTGGAGCCTCAATTAATATTCCTTCATATTTTAGAAGCCTTGCATCTGAGATCCATTTTTCAGCCTTTTGCTGTAAGACTCCCCGTATGTTATGGGGGGACAGCACTTTCAGGCTGCTATTAAATGTAATTTTCCGGGCTTCTTCTACCAAAAGAGCACATCCTACAATTGCTTGTAAGCACGTAGGCCATCCTCTGCTTACTGGGTCCAAGATCTTTGATAGATAAGCCACCGGTTTCCTTTTCTCTGCCCATTCTTGAGTAAGGACCCCATATGCGACCCCCTTGTCTACGTTTATGAACAAAAAGAAGGGTCTATTAGTATTAGGTAAACTTAATACCGGGGCATGGATTAGGCTTTCTTTAAGCTCTTGCAGCCTTTCGGTGTCCTCCTGATCCCATTTTAGGAGTCCCTCTTGAGTAAGTTTCTGATACAAGAAAGTCGCCTTACTACTGTAATTTTCAATCCATTGACGACAATAACCAGTTAGTCCAAGTATTTGCCTGATTTGTCTCTTATTTCTTGGAATTGGTAATGCTAAAATCGCCTGTATTCGTTCGGGATCTATTCTCTTCTCTCCTTTCTTTAGATAATGGCCTAGGTATTTTACTTCTTCTTCGACAAATTGTAGTTTTGCCTTGGAGACTTTCAATCCCTTTAATCCTAAAAAGTTCAATAACTTAATACTTTCTTTCCGTACATTCTCTTCCTGCTGCCCCGCCAGGAGTAGATCATCTACGTATTGGATTAATGTAACCCCTGGCCCCGCTTGGTAATCCTGTAAAATTTGCTCTAAAGCCTGCCCGAAGAGATTAGGGGACTCAGTGAATCCTTGAGGGAGTACCGTCCATCTTAATTGTTGTCTCCTTCCCGTATCGGGGTCTTCCCATTCAAATGCAAAATAATCCCGGCTTTCTTTAGCCAAAGGGCATGCCCAAAAGGCATCTTTGAGATCTATAACACTGTACCATAAATTCTCAGGCCCCAGTTTAGTCAAGAGGGTATAAGGATTTGCCACCACCGGGAACCGGGTTCGCTTGTTTATTTCCCTTAAATCATGCACCAATCGATAGGTGCCGTTTGGCTTTTTAACTGGTAGGATGGGAGTATTGAAGGGAGACATACAGGGTTCTAACAATCCATTATTCAACAACCTTTCTATTTCTGGTTTTAATCCTCGTCTCCCTTCTGGGGATAATGGGTATTGCTTAATTCGGACGGGGACATCCGGATTTTTGATAGTTACCGAAAATGGAGTGATTTTTAGCTGTCCCACGCTCTCAGGCGTGTACCAGACTTCGGGGTTAATTTGCTTTTCATCTTCTACCCTTAAAGGGCATAATTTAATTTTTAATTCCTTATTATCTACACCTATACTAATCCCTAATTCTATAATCATGTCTCGCCCGAGCAGATTATAATCTGACTCGGGTACCAATAATAGATTTCCCATCCTTATTTTGGATCCTGATTCTATAGTCACATTTTTTATGATTCGTACTTCAAAAGGTTCCCCTTTCGCCCCTATGACAGTGGCAGTTTCTTTAGAGATGGTACATCCTTTTGGTAGGTTCTGTACCGTGGATCTTTCTGCCCCCGTATCTACCAAAAATTCCATTTCTTGGTTGTGGGGACCCACTTTAAGTTTTATCAAGGGCTCTTTATGATTTTTCCGGGTCCCCACCAAATAGAGCCCCTGACCCCCCTAGTCCATTTGGAACTGCTTCTCGTCTCTGATTCGGACTCTACATTCTCGCTTAAAATGCCCTTTTTTTCCGCAATAAAAACATACCTTCACCCCTTCTGACTCCCCTATACTTTTCTCTTTTTGTTCATTCGAACCTCCCTTTCGCCCTTCTCTTTGGTACCTCCCCCCACCTGTTGCTGCGACCATCAACTTTACTTGTCTGCGGTCCCTTTCGTCGTCCCTACGGACATATAATTTCTGTGCCTCCCTAAGCAGTTCATCCAGCCCCCTGTCCTGCCAGTCCTCTAACTTCTGGATTTTCTTCTTTATGTCGTCCCACGATTTCAAAACGAAATGAACTTTCAGCATTGACTGTAAAGTTTGGCTATCGGGGTCCATTCCGGAGTACAATCGTAAGTTCCTCCGTAATCTCTCGAGCCATTCCGTAGGCGACTCGTCCTTCTTTTGCCTATCATTGAATGCCCGATCTATATTTTGCCCCCTCGGGACTGAGTCCCTAATCCCTTGAATAATTATGGTCCTTAAATCCTGCATATGTGTTCTATGTGCCGCATTTTGGTGGTCCCAATGGGGGTTCTGTAGGGGCCATTTAGTGTCCGCAGCCGGGCCTTGGACATGCTGCGTGTCCCAAATACGCATTCCTTCCCTTCTTATCATATTCCGTTCTTCAGTCGAGAACAGAATGCCCAAAATGGACTGCATTTCTTCCCAGGTATAGATGTTTGGTCCTAAGAACTGGTCGACCCTCTCGGCTACCCCAAAAGGGTCCTCTAATAAATGTCCCATGTCCTTCTTAAAGTCTCGTACATCTGCCGAACTCAAGGGGACAGTAATAAATCCTATACCCGCCTGTGGTCCACCCATGGGCATCTCCCGTAGAGGGAATAGCCCCGTCTCCATCCTACTGCGGCTCCTTGTAATCGGGCCTTGGTAACCGGTTTGGTTAACCTCCCCTTGGTTACCCTCTTCATCATTGTTTGGTGCAGGTGGTTGTGGAGGTGGTGGCGCATTGGGTGCTAGCGGTGGGACATATGGGGGCGGTGCTATAATTAAGTCGCCCAAATGATTGTCCCTCTTCCCCTTTTTGTCCGGATCCCCTTTCCCTTCTCTTAATTGGAAAACATACACTTCGGGTCTTGCTACCCATATTTTGGCATAATCACTCTCCTCTTGCGAGAAGGGCTCTTTAGAATTTACCCATAGGTTCAAGTCCTGTTGAACCCAGTCTTCAGATGATCCAAACACGGGCCAAAAAACTTTTTTGGAAATCTCTTTCCCACCCCATACTTCCATGCAATAATGTATCATTCTGGCCCTATCCTTAGTCTCGGTCCCCGGGTAATGCTTCCAATTACTAAGCATAAATCCTAGGGGACTGTCCCTTGGAATGGGGGGGAGTTTTACTTGGGTTGGGGTTTTGCTTTTCCCCTGCCCCATTCGTCCGGAGTGCCTTCTTTCACTCTCAAATTCCTTTCACTTCCCCTTTTTCGTGGCCCGAGCCCTTGCGGGTCTGCGGGAACCGCACTACTCAAGGGTCCACACTCACTTGGAGAGTCCGGCTGCCGGCCCTCCTCTCATTCACACTTGTCCACCGCCACACTCCGGGATCCCAACCCCGCCCGAACGGATTCCCTTTTATACTTACGCGTCCTGCGTCTTCGTCCGGACTCCGTGCACAGATTATTAAGGGGTTCACCGGTATAATTTGTCCCGTTTGCTTACTAGTATATATTTTAGGGTCGTCGGTGAGAGTGGCGGAGGTCTTCCCAGAGGGGCAACCCGGAAAGCACTGGATGAGGCGCCCCCCACTCTGGGTAGATCTTACCCGATCCAAACTCTCATCCGAGTCACGGCACCAAATTGTTATAAAATTGACTCAAAACGAGCAATTTCCAATCAAAGAATTTATTAATTATTGAAGCAGTTATACTAAGTAAGCAAAGGCTCAGCGCTGGGCGACAGGGGAGTCTCAGCTCCACCTACTGCCGCACCAACTAGTTTCTGATTCAGTCCTTTTATCCTCTCCATCCTTCAGGAGTCCATGTTATCTTGGAGTTCTCTGCGCCTGTGCTGGTTGTTGCTAGTGGGTCATCCTTCTGTCTCCTGGTGGTCGGTGATAAAAGGCTGCGGAGTCTTCCTCAGCTGCGTCTTCTTCACCCTATGTCTTTATTTGGTGACTTCTCCGTGGAAAATTACCAAAATCTTATGATTAACGCAATATGTGCCCTATGAAGCTTAAGCAAGCAAATGTCCTGCCTTGCAAACTGTGTCCTATCAAGCTTAAGCAAGCAAATATCCTACCTTGCAGACTGTTTATCTGCCCCTGCCCCTTCCCCAGCTTTTCCCTGGTCGTTATCTCTGTGAGTTATCTGCTTGTACCATTTGTCAGCGGGAAAGGTTTCCCTGCTGGGTGTTAATCTGCCCCTGCCCTTTCCCCAGCCTTTCCCTGGTCGTTATTTCTGTTAGTTATCTGTTTGTACCATTTGCTGGGTGGGACTATGTGTGGGCTCCTGCAACTCCTTCCCTGGTATCCTTGTAGCTCATATCTCATGAAGTAGTACAGAAATAGTCAGCAGACAACTCTTGTAACACACTGGTCTCTTTTTCGTGATGAACAAAATGTAGTCCTTCATCTCACCTGGGGCACTTCAGCTGGGGACCATTGTGGGGGTGTCAAGTGTCCCAAATGACTCCTGTACAAAATTTAAATGCATCAAAATTCTCCACTGTGTTAAAAAATCTTACCCCCACAAAACCAGGGGGACAGACATCACAAAAGGTTTAACTGTGGCGATCAGGCGCTGGTATTTGCACCAAGTGTTGGTTTTGCAAGCTTTCGCTCCTTCCACCAACGCCGGAGAGTCCCTGAGTCGTTAATGGGCACTCATTGGGCTATTGGCTCCTTCAGATAACAGTCACACCGGCTCCGGTATCAATGAGTCCTGTTAGGAGTGTCTGCCTTTCAGAGTCCCTTTGCATTGGCATGTTGGACGCTCAGATGTAATACATTGTGTCCATAAAATCTGTGGCACCCCTGTAGAACTGAACCCCCCCTCCCTTTATTCAGCTACCGGGGGTGCAGGCAGGGGTGCTGCAGGAAAGGGTATAAGTTGAGCTATATTGCTCCTACACAGGGCGGATGGGGGGGTCCAAGCCATGATCTTTATTTCCCCAAGGGAATCAGAGTCTATAGCCCCAGGGAGAACAAACAACCCTGTTATCCAGGTGGAAGATGTGCCTATAATCAAAGTGTGCATATTCTGTCCTGGCGGTCCGAAAATTCCTGTGGGAAGCAAATGGACAGATGAATCAAGCAATGTTACTGTGTCGGAGGTTGCCAGGTCCGTTCCTGCGCTGCCTAGGGTGGCTGGTTGTAAGTCAGCGACAATTGCTCGGCGGGCGGGGGCAGGGCCGATTGGAAGTTCACGGTTGCTCCCAGCTGCTGCGTCGGCTGCGGAATTTGCATCCTCGCGCGTCGCCGTCCCGTGCTGCGAAAGAAGTTTCCCTGCAAAGGCTGGCCATTGTGGTGGAACTTGGAGCGACATCTATTAGCAAGGGGAGGGCCTTTCCAGCAGCAAGGGCATACACCTGGAGCTTTAGGTTTCTGCGTTCTCTGGCAGTCTCTGCGGATATGTCCACATTCCCCGCAGCCAAAACAAGCCAGCTGTTTCCCAGGGGTTAATTTCATGGTGGCAAAAGCATCCACTATGCCTTGCCCCACAGCTTGATTTGTGGCTGCTGTGGTGTGTTGTAATGTCCCCAAGCGGTGGCACGCTTGTATCATTTGGAGTAAAGTGGGTTCAGGTTCAGGGGGTAAAGATTTTAAAAGCTGCTTACAGTCCAGGTTGGTGTTCTCGACAGCCAGTTTGAGGAGTATAATCTCCCTGGCTTGCTCGCTATCGATTTGTCTCTCCAATATTTGTTTCCATTTGTCCACACACTGCACATAAGGCTTCTCTCGGTAAGGTACCTTGGCCATTAGGGCTCCCAGTTGAAATAAACAGGGCAGAAGACTTTTTCTCCTTTTAATGTCTTTATTAAAAGTGATCAGCTCAAGACTGGACGGGTCTGCTGTCTCTGTCGTCTCTCCAAGGGTGACTTGGAGGAGGAGGATATGCACAGCTTTGTCAACTAGGAGCAAAGCTAAGAGTCCAGTCCTCGTGGGAGCTGTCATGGGCATGAGTTAGATGTAGACCTTTCTGACTTTTTTCTCTGGCTCCTGGTTTTGCAATGACTTTTCCGGGTGAGGGGCCACGAAGGTCTCCAGCATCTCTGCAGGCTCAGCACTTTGTTCCTCACGTTCAGACATCACTCTAATTTCTCAACTCTATATTGGCTTGTTGTTTTGGGGGTCATTTCAGTACCTTTGGAGTAGTAGCCTCTCATGGCATGCTGGTCCTGAGGCTATTTTGCATGCTCCCCCTCCTACGTCTAGTCCCTTCTCCTCACTGTTTGGGGAGGTCCCCGCCCTTCACTGTCTCGGGAGAAAAGCCAGCGGGCCCTTTACTGATACAAAAAAAAAAACCAAAAAAACATAAACGACAACGACTTGTAATTATCGTAACATACAGGTAGTGCTTTAGCAGCCACAGTGGTCTGACTAGTTTTTGTAACCTTTTTCTCACAAATATAATTGGCAGATTTTTTTTTTATAACATTATGTGCCCCCTCCTCCACAAGGTGGTCAACAGTTAAGGCAGCCAGGGCTTGGTTTGCATGCCCTGCATATGTTGCAAAAAAATTTTCCAGTCCTTTTTTCCATTGTGGCATAAATATAGCATATTGTGTCGGTGTGAGCAACAGATTTGCAAAAAACTTAACATCATGAGGAGTCATGAGGTGAGTAGTAAAGGTTGCTCTTAACAAATTACTAAAATATGGGCACTTCAGTCCATATTCCACAGCGGTATGGTGCAGTTCCTTAATTTTCTGAGTGATCTAGGAGCACCCATTGTGCATTTATGCCCATCGGGCCGAATTGCGCAAGGGCCACAAAGATTTCTGCAGCAGTGTCAAAGTCTCTGTCCTTAAGGGCTTTCCTTTTTATCCAGAACCAATTGTTACGCGTATCTGAAGGGAGTAAGCTCGCATCTTTTTCAGGGTCAGGGTTGAAAGAGTCCAGCTCCCCTTCACTGCTAGAGTCAGTGTCTGTCGCATAAGCCATAAGAGCCCGGCGGCTCTGGGATGGCTGGCGGTGTGGCGGTGGGACTGGGGGTGGTGACCGGGCTCTATCCCTGGCACTCGCTGGGGAGGGTGTGCGGCCGGGGGATGGGGAGCAGGATCTGGGCAGGTTTTGATCCGGCGCAGTTGCTGGGGCCGTCTCAGGGTAGCCTCACAGGCTGTAGCCTCGCAGGCTTCCCTGCACCCTCCCAGTTTTTAATTGCGTCCATGACCGCCTTCCAAGCAGGAAGCATTCGGAGCTCTGGCTCGTGCACAGGCAGCATAGCAAGGTCATAGAGCTTTATACCGACCTTGTCCCAGAAGTGGGGAGTAAATACAGAAGAAGGGGTAGTGTTGGGGACCATGGGTGACACCCATCGTAGAAGTGACTTAAGGTCATGCTTTGGGATGGGGGAGCCACACCTGTCCAGAAGGACTAGCATGGTTTCATAGATGTCTCTCTCTTTGGACATTTCCTTTCCCATTCCTTTAGATCCCCTGGCTCACCTGTCAAGTTGCAGCAGACAGGGATTGCGGGCCCAAACGCGGTTCTCTCACCGTCGCGATCAGTTCCAGGGCCTCACCAACTGCCCGCCAATCAGGCCAACTCATTTCCTCAAACAGGGCACCAATTTTCAGCAATGGAGAGAGATGGGGAGACTGACTTGGTGATCAGAATCCGATTTTCTTGTGGGATACAAGTACTTATATACTATTTTAGGGAGAGTAGTAACGTGTACTACAATGATATAGGTTGAAATCACATACAAAACTTATGCATATAACAACATGCTTTCAAGGCATTTTACCAAGGCATTTTATCTATTAGTTCTCTATGCTAATAAAGTCCAAAGTACTGTCTGTCTCATGCACCCCAATATACCACTGCAGCTTTGGACTGTTCCAAAGGGGCCTCCTTTAGGCTCAACATCTGCAGGCCATTGCAGAGCAGTGGGCCACAGGCCGCTGCCTGAGCTCCGACACGCCACAAGTGTGGCAGCCCAAGAATCAGTGCACGTCTCTTCCAGATGTTCTGAGACATTCAGCTGCCAGAGAAACAACAAGCAGGACCAGAGAAGATTTGTGTCAAGAGCTAAGCCAGGGTCTCCCTCCACAAAGGGAGGTCAGCCTCCAAAGCAAGTCAGAGCAAAGGTCAGCATGCTCCCGTGTCTCAAGAAGTGACTGCAGCCAACAATAGTCCTGGAAATTTATTCTCTTTGCTTCTTTTGCCCCCTAAATGACATTGAAGAAGTGAGACTTTTCAGAACCAGCTGTGATGCCACCTAGAAGAAGCAGACTTGCTTTCAGTCAAAGCTTTTGGGACCAAAAGTCTTGTTTGCTTGGGTTCCTTGGATGCCGCTTGGGTTGGTGCATTTTCTGAGTTCCCCTGGGATGCCTTGAGCACTGCCTTATGGGCTGGGAGGACATTTTCTGCTGCTTTATGAGTGAGGAGAACTTCCCAGGCTTTTCTTTTGCATTAGCTGTACAGAAGGTTGCCTTGCTGGGCACAAGAAAGCCACAGAGCAGCTGCTATTGTGAGGTCAAAGGAGCGGTGCCACGTCACAGTGCTGTCAGCACAGTGTTGTCCCGGTGCGC